CTTTAGGGAACTTATCTATTCACGAACAGCTTGTAACACTCCAAAAAGGAAAATGTGAAATTGCATCATATGACCCCTTTAAAGAAATTAATAATTTTATTCAGCAAGATTGGATTAAATTGATAAGAATGACAATAATCACATTTATTTTGTTAGAAAATATCTCCATTTCAAATAAATGCAGATTTTTAAAAACATTCTATTCATTAAAAAATCCTGTAAAAAAAAAAAACTGTTTTCACAAAAAATATTAAGCAGCACAGCTGTTTTCAACATTGATAATAAAAGAAAAGGTTTCTTGAGCACCAAATGAACATTAAAATGATTTCTGTAGGATCATGTGACACTGCAAACTGGAGTAATTATGCTGAAAATTCAGCTTTGTCATCTCAGGAATAAATTACACTTGAAAATCTATTAAAATATAAAACAACTCATTTAAATTGTAATAATATTTCACAATATTACTGTTTTTATGTATTTTAATTGTGATTTTATGTCTCACAATGTGGCTTTGTTGCAATTTGACTTTATATCACTTAGTTGCTACTTTGTTTCACAGTGTCACTATATTTATTTATTTCTTTAAACTTTTTCTCAAGATTACCATTTTTATCTTGTACTCTTAAGGTGGAAACAGGCTTCCATATCTTGATGTTGGTTTGGTGCTAGTCTCGTTAGTGAAAGAAATATTTGGAAATAAGTAATGTAATCTTTACTGCCTTCAGCAGTCTGATGACAAATGAGAACATTTTAGTCTTCAACAAAATAGATATAGCAAAACATGAATACATCAAATGCAATTTTAGCATGCAAAGAGCAAGACCATGGTTTATTCTTTAGCATTTGTATTCTTTTTAATTCAGCACAAAAATGTGTGTTAATGCAATCTGTCAATTAGCCCTGAATAAATAAAAACATTGTTCACTTGTGTATTTGTTCATTGAATAATTAAGTCACTTTTAGAGTATAAATAACTCCTTGATGCAATAAAACTCAAATGTGTTATCAGTAAATAAACATCGTCATATAAACAACAAGTCAAAAGCAACACTGATTTAATGACTTGTGCTCAGTAAGTGAGATAAATTAATTCAGTAGCCATTCAGATATAAGTGTTTTTGATTCACTGAAAAACAACCAGATTGCTGTGTCGGCTGTATGTTTTGTGATTTCCCATGTTCTAAGTGCAAAAGTACAGTATTTTATCTGTGTTGGTGGAAGAATGCACATTCAGGAACCGTGAACAGAACCAAAAGTCATAAATCATTTAATTCAGGTGTTTTTTAAACCGTAGAACCGGTTCCCAGTCCTACTTAACACTGAGCTTGGCAAGTGCTTTTTCTTAGACTTCTGCTCTTTCAGATAGTTCAGCTGAGAGAGATGTGTCTGAATGCTAAAAAGTGCACCATGACGATTCTCTCTTTGCATACAAAAGGCACACAAGACATTTGCTCAGAGAAAACCAAAGATGAATAGCGAATTCTTTCATGCCTATTGAAGTGAGCTCAGTCAAGAGAGTCTACTAAATGTTTTAAGGATACTGACGTTACCATAAATGGATAGGTTTATGACTATTAACCTCAGGGAACGGCAGATTTTGGATGGGGTAGAATGCCTCATGAAGCCAAACGCGAGCTGTGTGGACTCGTAAAGGTGAAAGTTCACCCTCTTGTGGGAGTTTTGGCAGATGAAGGAAGTCAGCATGTGTTTTCTGGCAGAGAGAGCAGATCTACCTGCTTGTGTTTTATAATGATGGTGGACTGTAGCTCTCACTCATTATAACTAGTTACATGACTGCACTGCAAAGAACATTCCATGAAAGAAATATTAAATATTCACAGATGTTTGAATAAGGGCCTTGTCCTCAAGTTACTTTTGGGTAATTGTGTCTGTCTATGTTAGAATTAACATGTCTGCACTCACTGGAGAATGGCAGCAAAATGGTTTATGAATGACACTGTGCGACATTTCTCCATGATGTTCAGCCATTAGGTTTGTGAAAAAAAAAGAACTGTGTTCTCTGCTTCTTGCCGTGCTCACTTTGGGGACAGGTTTCGCTTCATTTGAGATATTTATCTCTTCTGTGTCGGGGGAGATATGGCTCAGGAGTTACATAAACAATCTCAAAAGTCTGTGTGTGTGATACTTCTGGCTCCGCTTGTGTGTTGAAATATCCTGGGGTGAATTCACTAAACAGTCGTGCCCCTTCAGTGTGCACTAATTCAGCACAAAAACACTCTCAATCCAGCAAAAAAGCAGACGCTAAATGCATTGAAATGTGACATTTTGAGTAATTAGCATTTTCTATTTTTTTTAACTTGAAGTTTATTGAAACTTTGAACCTTTAGACAAAATATGTATACATAAAAAAAAATTATAAAAATGTTTGCATGTGTGTATGTATCATATTTGATAAATGAGCTTTTAATGGCAATTTATTAATCACAACAAAAATATTTTCATTGCATTTACAATCTTTGAAGAATTTCTCTTGGTTTCATTTAGTTGTTTATAAAGAAACTATCTTTGCTTTTTTTAGCAGTCAAAAACAGCCACAAAATTACATCTGTATATAAATATCAACTTTTATGCAAATATACATACATACTACTATTCAAAAGTTTCTGGTTGATATGATTTTGAAATTCTTTTTAAGTCTCACATGCTCACTAAGGCTGCTTTTATTTGTAAATAAATAAATAAATCACAGTAAAAACAGTAATATTGTGAAATAATATTGCAATTTAAAATAATTGTTTTCTGTTTTAATATATTTTAAAATATCATTTATTCCTGTCATGGCAATGCTGATTTTTTTCTGTCTTTTGAATTTTCAGTGTCATATGTATCCTTTAGAAATCATATATATGCTGATTTGGTGCTCAAGATTTCTTACTATTATCAATGTTGAAAAAGGTTGTATATAAAAAAATTTCTGGATTATTTGAAAAGAAATGTATTTGAACAAAAAAAGAAAAGAAAAAAAGTAACATTATAAATGTCACTTTGATCAATTTAATGCATTTTTGCTGAATAAAAGATTCACTTTTAATATCTTTCCAAAAAATATGTTAATATCTTTCCAAAAAAAAGGATCCCAAACTTTTGAATTGGAGTATAAATATACAGTATATATAGTGGAGCAATGCTGTACAGTCAAATATGCCAGATTGCGGTAGTCTCCTGAATTATCCATAACCTAGCGCTCAAACCTCGCTTACAAGATTGAGAATTGCTCTGTGCAAATTGCATTCAGGCAATTTTTTTGGCCATGTTTGGGCCATTACCTGATTTGCATAATTCCTTTAGTGAATCGGGTGCTAAGACAACACAAACAGCATTTGCAAATAAACGACTGTCAGCAGGCACAGTTCATTCTTAGTGAATTCCCCCTGAGTAAGGTACGTCTGGCTCCGCTTGTCTTGAAACATTACAGAGCGAGTGAAAGGGACTACAAAATGAAAAGGTATTTGTATAAATATTCCCCAAATATTTCTCTCATTCAGTTTCTCTCCCTCTCTTACATCCTGTAACAACAGTCTAGTCTTCGGAGCTCGATCCAAACACACATCTGTCGTGGGCCTGGCCTTTAATATAATGGCAGAATCAGGCTTGAGGCTTTTGTACTGGCTGTTTGTCTTACGGGAAATGTGGATGTAGCTATTGAATTAATCTGAGGGCCATTTGATGAAATGTTTGGCGAGATTCTAGTGAGTAGATGAACAGTAGTAGCGGCTTATGCTTTGCATTAAGATTTCCATTTAATGAGTTTTGCTGGGAGTTGAAGAGTAAAAAAAGCAGATTAGATTCAGATTGAATTCAGTTGAATGTGAGTTGGATCAAATCAATGAATCAAAATATTAATCTGCGTATATCTTTATGCATCATATTTTATAAATCAGGGTTTTATGATCATTTATTAATAAAAAATAATTGCATCCATCTTTTAATTGCTTTGTGGGTGTCAAAAACAACCACAACACTATATATATATATATATATATATATATATATATATATATTATATATTTTTTTAAAATCTTTTTTTTAAATTTTTTTTATTGTGTTTTATTGTGTTAGTTAGCTGTATTTTTTTGTAATTTTTAAAAACCTAATCAAAACAAACCAGCTGCAGTTTGAGATTAATTGGAATGCACAATGAAAAAAACAAAAACTAAAGTTTCTAAACAAAAACAATGTTTCTGTTTTTGCAAATGAACTCTTCATATATATATGATATATATATATATATATATATATATATATATATATGTCTGTGTGTGTGTCGAGGACGAATCTCTCCACTCCCAAGCAGATTTCCTTCACTCACACAAAACTGGACGTGTGCTTTTAACATACATCGTTCCGCAAACACAATCCCCAACCCTGACTGTGAGAAAGTCAAAGTTGAATAAGAGTTTCTGCCTTAAGTCAGATCCTTAAAATTGTGACTCATTCTGCAACACGTCCAAGTCATGACTTCTGAGGGCACAAGCCTGACTGAGATTGTGTTCTAATGTAAAACGCAAACCTGCATAGAAATAATATAAATATGCAACACCTGTTTGATCTGGTCTTACCTGCAGTGGACAGCAGAATAAAGATGACGGCCAGGGTGTTGAAGGACCAGCGGCCGTTCATGGTCATCTCTCAGCCCTCATGAAGAAAGTCAACACAAACTCATTTCTCACCGCCTGTGGTCATTTTATTCTGCAAGCTCTGGAAGAAAACACACACACACACACACACACACACACACACACACACACAATGACAATATACAGGTGTTTAAACTTTATATTCTCTGATCAAGACTTAAAAATTCAGTCATCATTTACTAACCCCCATGTTGTTCCAACATGAAATGTAATGGAGTGAACAACTCATGCATTATTTGAACAAAGACATCTGTTGGGCTTGAGTTACACATGCAATAACTGATAAGATGGAGCTACAGCTGGTGTTACACCAATCCTTTCATTATTGCTGTCAAAAGGGAACTCTGAGAGATTAATGATGAAAACTTGAGATTTGTGAATATTGATGAGGGGAATCTTGGTTTGAAAAATACCACACAATATGCGCTCATGACAAATAGATACAGCATGTTGCAAAGGATTAAATGCGATAATTCCTTATTGATGATTCCATCCGTGCTTGTCTCTGCATGTGCTCTCTCTGATGAAAAGCACATTTTATAACAGAGCAATATGAATAAAGCTCTGTTATAAAATCACATATCAAATCTCTCTGTCTAAAGGCTTTTCAAAGCCTCCGTATCCTCCCAGACCCTGGTGCAACTGTCGTGACAAGAAAAAATATAAGATGCACCAAAGAGGGTGTGTTTGGAATATAATTCTAACGTACTTGCTACTGCACGCCATGCAGTATAACTGCATACTTTTGTGTGTGTTGTATATGGTCAGAGCCATGGCATTGTGGTTATTACATCATGTGAACAATGTGGGCATGAGCTCAAATCCGGCATATGTATTTTCCCATTACTATTGCAGTTTTTATTTTAATAAAAGTGGCAAAAAGGCCAAAACAATGCTTTGTAAAACAAGATAGATAATAGGAAATACTAAATTTAATGATCGTACATTAATATTGGTTAATTTAAATACTACAGATTTATAAATTTTAAGATATTCATTTAATAATTGTTAATAATTATTTAATAAATTTTTTTTTTTTTTACA